ATGATGTTTCATTCTATGAGTAGCTAAATTCCCTTATTCTAGGGTTGTAGCTACGATTAATGGCGTAATAGTATTTATTTCTAGCATGAGATGGGTTTTCTTATGATTGATGCTTGCATTCTTGTTTAACTTATTTTAATGACTGATCAACATTAAAATAAACTCATTGTCCACTCTTGAACTCGAAAGCCGAACAGAGGAATAGACCAAATAATGGGAGCAGCGTGTTCATTTTTGGGTAAAACTTAGAGTGTTTCGTATATAGGATAGGATTATACCTATATGCCGCATTTGATTAATGTGCAAGATGATAGCTTAATGCTCCGCTATTGGTTCATGCCTATCCCCTCTCAATGATGTAGTTAGGCTGTCAATGGTGGTAGGCGATTAGAGGTCGGGAGATCATTATCGTAAAATCAACCTTGTAAATCAATAATGAGGTTAACCTGTCGAATGCTAGGATAAGTTATTATTATGTTTGAAATCGGTATATGCTACAACCCTAGAATATTTCCCAAATTGCGAAATTCCTTTGTTTGCAACTGTTTAATTGTAGTAATTAATATTTGAAATTGTTCAATTTAGTTGATACAAACAAATTGCTAAAATTGTTTGTCACATAAGTAAATTTATTTTAGTTACAATAAAGTTAGTGTGTGCTGATTTGAAGTCCTTTGGGTTTGATAATCCGGCTCGAAAGACTCGATGTACTACTTGAGTAACCAGGTGCACTTGCATGTGCTTTTGGACACAAAAGGTCCCTAGAGTCGGCTACCATAGCTAGAACATACTTGGAGAGTTGAGTGAATTTCAAAGTTTATTCCTTCATACTCATAGTACCTTTCCTCAAATTAATGACCTTTTGCACCTTAGCCTCTCTCATCTTAGGAGAGAAGAATCGATCTAGAAAATTCCCTTTGAACTTGTCCAAATCCAAAGGACCCGCATCAATAGCCCTTTCTTCCTTCCATTGCTTAAACCAAATCTGAACAACCCCTTTCAATTGAATAAGGAGCCAAATCGCACTCTTAACCAGAGTGATACCTGTGATCTCAACAATCTTTTAAATTCCCTCAACAAACTCTTGTGGATCCTCGTCCACCTTAGAACCATGGAATTATTGAGGATTTATCTGAGTGTAGTCCCGTACTCTTGTCATTGCGGTACCCATAATTGGGTTCATGAGAGATACAACCTCACGATTGGCTTGAGCAGTTATGGCTTGGGCAAGCATTTGGAAAACAGTCTTAAACTCATCATGAGTGACTTGCTCGACCAAGGGATCAATCAGAGCTTGTGGTGTGTTTTGTTCCACATTCAAATTCCTTCTCACGTGAGCTCTTCTTGGAGGCATAATTTTGAAAACACATAGAACGTGAGTTAGAAGGAAACTTCATAGAGTTTTACTTCATCGCAAGACTAAGAGTATGAAAGAATTGAAGTATTTCTTAAACATCTCGTAGCTTCTCAGTCATAAATGTGGCGTGCTTCACACCCATGAACAAAATTCTACTTAACTGGACTTTCAGACACCTTAATACACTTGAGCCTGATGCTCTAAATACCAAGTTTATCACGGTCCAAGACTACTCCCTAGACGAGACATATAGTTAGAATCCCGATAGACTACAAGCGAACTACATGGCATAACATGGCACTAAGAAAGCATACATAACCGAAATGACATGGAAAGTTGAATTGAGCCTCAAATGACTGCATCAACATAATATGAAAATCTAAGTACAAAGACACATAAGCAGAAATATACTAATGTCTGAAATAACCTGTCACAATCCAAAATGGATGTGATGTCACTCGTCTTATCCCACCAAGATAAGTCAGCCTAAAACCCAACCATTACGATAAAATGAGGAAACAAGATAAAAATAAAAGTTTAATAACAATTACTAATGCGGATAACATGTCAACTAAACTAAATCTCCAAAACCTGGTTGTCACGTGTCCAAGCTTGTAATGTGTTACAATAGATTTGAAAGAATATACATAAGTCTCAAATGATGTTGTCTCTAAAGTAGAACAAAATCATAAATAGAATAAGCGGATCCACTAAGATGACAAGCAACTACCTCACAAAATTCAACTAGAAGCCTTAGACAAGAAGAGAAGAGACATTATCACAAAGATTTGTGTTCGTAACCTACACAAATGTAAAATCCATGGGTGAATACCAAACCTCACGACATTGAGCAAGCAAACTCCTAAACCTAAAGTTAAGGGTATAGAATATGTGTACTCCTTATACCCCAACCGAACATCCATAACTATAACCTGCATAAAAACTAGCCCAACCTAATAGTTCATAATTCACATAGAACATAGTTCAACCACACCACTTCAACAATTAAAGGTCAACAACATGCAAGATAAAGTTCAACAATCACAAGTTCCACATAAAATTACTTGTAAGTTCAAAAATGATAAAGATGCGCAATTCAATGAAATGCAATGTCAAGTCTAGTGATGCTTGTCTCACCTAACGATACACACCAGTTGTCTCTTAGTCCGGGACCTATGAGGGACTTATTAGTCTATGCATTCATCGCAGCGTGAAACACAAACCTCGATAATATAATTATTTGTGGCATATGATACGTCCCTCCAATTATAATATATGTTGCGGTGCGTGACACATCCCTCAAGATGATACATACTCTTTAATTTTTTATTTTTCCTCAATTCACATAACACTTGTCATAACCATGTCTCAGAATCAATGTAAATGACATGTTCACATAACTAATAGGGAGATGACCATTTGCATAACAATGCACAATTCACAACAACACAATCGTGATACAACATCAATAACGAATCAATAAACCTTTCAAACTATTTTCAACACATCACACACCAATAATTAATCATGTTGTCTTTTATTACCCCATTTTCTTCATTAGTATTATTCAATATGAACAAGTCAACCCATCATCAAGTCCCATTTCTCCCCAACGCATAACACAAGAAAATACACGATTCTATACACTTAACAAGGGTCAAGAAAGTCACTTGCCCCAAACAATCGAACAATTACTCTGGACTTGAGCCTTACCCTTTTGTTGGGCTTCCAAATCAATGCAATTTATTCAAATAAATAATCAACATAAAATTTTGAAACTAACAACACCCATAGTACTATGTGTCTAGCCTAGAACCAAAAACTCATCCAAATCTCTAATCAAACTCCAAATCTTAATACCAATTAATATGTCAAGTCTCATATTTCCTGAAATTCAAGGCTAGGGTTAAGTTTTAATTCCTCCAAATGACATAATTATAATAGTATTCATATAATACAATACATTTAATATTTAATTACATATACTAATATCTCAAAATTTGAATCAAATTTATAATATTATAGGGAAAATTCCAACACATAACCAAAGTTAAAAGAAACTTGTACAGTTTCAACCATTGAAAAAGAGGGACATATATATACAAGAGCTAACCTTTATCTCAATTGATTATATACCCTATCTAATTATTACCTAAGATTGGTCATCATTGTCAGATTAGTTGTCTTTAAATTGTTTGACACCTTCGGCCATAACATAACATAGATGTAGACACTATCTTAGCAATCAAATAATCAAGGAAGCATATCCAAATACCTTTAAAATGGCAGCATCATTATCCACTTCTCCAGGTCTAGAAGCATCGACACCCCTGAGCTAGTGTTTCTTTATGTCAAATTAAGTTCTCTCATCTGGTAATTTTAGCCGCAAGAGATTGTGTTGTGATAAATTATTAACCCCATTAACTTATTTTCATATGGGTCAAGTGATGAAGGATATTAAATAAATTATGGACCTGACCCATTAACCATTAATTAAATAAATGTAGCTAACAAATAGCTCTAATTTCCCAAACAACTTCACCGACTGATATGCACCACTGCCAATAAAATGGTAATTTTCTGAAAATTTTCAAAAATGACCTTCACGTTATCCACCACTAAAAACCATGTTCGTCCTCGAACATAAAGTAAAAGAAAGTAGAATACTCGACGTTACCAAGCGCCTAAGGTATGATTTTCCATCCCTTCAAGTGAACTCATACTTAGGATTATTCAATCAAGATCAACTATCAAGAACTGAACTTTCGAATCAAAATTTGGTAAATCTACAACTCAAGAGTGATTATGAAGTCGTGGACTAACCTATGAACCTAATTTGAACTGAATTCCTCTAAACAACAACACACCTACCAAGACGAATCTTTTCTCACATAACTACGAAATTTTTTTGATTCAATTATACAGGTTAAAATCAAGAGCGTACTTGAATCAACCACCAAACCCTCATAATGCACAAACCATCACACCTCTTAGCAAGATTCCATTTTCACAACATAATCCTCCCACGAGCTTAAGCTGTAAAAATCATATCTTTGGCATTCATTTTTTGTGACTATGTTTTTTCTCTACTCTACACGTAAAGATCACTGCTTTATGCTCGACCTATCCACTCTCGAAGATATTCTTGATTTCTGTTTGACGCTTTCAAAATAGCACACAAAAATAACCACTTCTTCTCTTGAAATTTTAGTTTTCTTTGCACTAGTTAATTTGCTAAAAGCCCAAGTATGCAACTCTCTTGCGAAAAATCTAAAATCTAAGTGTATTTCATGTTTGAGTGTGATTTGAAGACCGCAAACCCCCGCTCACTGCCCCACAGTAGGTAATATTTGCCCTTTTTACCTTTGTTTTATCACTGCGATTAAAATGCTATGTATGCTCTAAGAAGTTTATGTGTCAAGACTCAAGAGTGATTTTTTTTCTTTAGCTATACTGAAGTTTGAAAGTAGTGTTAAAAATGTATTTGCGTTTTCTTTCACATGAAGTTAGTTTCTTTTGGTTCCAAGTGAATATTCATTTTTTTAATTAAAATTGGGCACTAAGCACTTTATTAAAATAAAATCAATTATAGATACAACAGACAAAGCCCAAAAGTTACCTAGCCCAAAAATTAAAGCAAAACAAAAAATATAGGCAAAGAGACAGGTCATCTGCATAATTAGGAAAGTAGGTAGAAAGCTCCACCCCTTCATCTTCCTCAAACGAAATAACCGTAGATTTGATCTACTGTTAACTTGGTTTGGAAAAATCCTCCTCCGCTTCGATGTTCATCCTCAACTATCAGCTCAAAGCTCCATCTCTAAGCTAAGTGTCGAATCCTTCGTGATTAATTGTTCTTCCTCTTTTCATTAGATCGATGGAATGAACTTCTAAGAAGCTAATACCACCATCATATCAAAAGAATCGATTTAGAAACAATAAAACCTGTCCTTATGATGCCAACAGGTTTCCATGTCTTAATAGTTAGAGCTACATATCAGAATCGGTGGATCTATTGTTTGGATACTCGTACCATTAACACCCCAAGGTCTCACTGGGTGTAGGTGTTTGCATCCAAAGAAATCACTTCTAACAATAGGTATCACCTTTTCCTTTATTGTAACTCCTTACTCTAATGTTAAAACGGTACCCAATGCACAAATTAACTTCTTTGCATCATGTTTTCAATGTTGTCTGCGAAGCAAACTTTGTAAACATGGTCAATGTTCTACATCCCTATTCAAACCATCTGCAACATTTTCCAGTAAGTCCAATGGTGTCCACTTTGTATTCCTCTTTTATCAATTTTTAAGTCAATGTGAGCTTTTTAAGATAATACCACCAATCGATCAAATCGTTTCAACAGGAGAGTGTTTGATAATCATTTGAATTTTGTTGCAGGATTTACTAACAGAAACACTAAGATCACAAACTACCAGATGTTGATGCCCATAAACAGGTGCTTCCAACATCTATAGTAAGTTGCCTTATTGTTATTGTTTTGCATATCCCATTATAAAAGTATTGTTATATCTTCCTTGAATTTTGATATCATGAGTTTTGATCGGATCTTCTGATGTGGTGTTCCTGATTTATCTAAATTTACTATCCTTCTTCCTGTTGTTGGAATTTCACCAAAGTTATTAAATTGAAAATCACCTGCAAAATCAAAAACTAAGTTAGTAAAAAAATCAGCGAGAGTATTACCTTACCTAAAGGAATGTATTACTCTTACTGATATAATACACATTAGTGCTCTTATGGAGTTGACCTTCATTGTCACACTCCATGGGACCTCCTAGTTTCCTTGAAGAATTTGCACCATAATCCAAGAATTTGATTCTATAATGATATGTTGGATAACATTGTCTTTACAGTAGAGGAAGCACCCTCTTATTGTTGTAGCTTATGCTTTAAGGCTGGTAGTGTCCTTAATTCTTGAGACTCTTGCAACTACCAAATCTCCTTCCCCATTTCTAATACAGAAAGCAAAAGAACTAGGTACAGGGTTCCCTCTTGAGGAACCATCAGTGTTTCTTTAAACCAAGGATTGGGAGGGGGAACCCATTTTACAATTCTGGTTACAGAGGTAGTTCTATTGTTCTGCAAAACATCAATAATATCTATTCATCTTCTCCCTTATATATTTAAATTGAATATGACCTTAGCAAACTTCAAAATAGTGTCATTGAATTCCCAGTATACCTTTCTTTCATGGTATGAGCCACCATGTAGGATGGTATTTCTTCTTTTCCACAAAAACCCAGAAAAGGATGATAGGAAGTACCTTGAAAACTTCTCGTAGCTTACTATTACCTTCAATATTTTTCCACATTCTCATAGTTTGCTTTAATTTAAGTCTTTGATCAATAATACCAGTTGCCCTACAGTAGTGAATCCACACTCTATCTGCCACCTCCCCTTTGAGAAATAAATGTTCTATTGTTTATCTACCTGAACTATTACAGCATCCACAATCCTCAGAGATATTAGGGTTCCACAAATGCAAAAGAGTTGATACATGAACCTTACCCAACCAGATTATCCAAGAAAGAGTAGAGAATTTGAAGGGTAATCTTTTACTCCATATTGCCTTTAGATCTTTATTTACATCCACTCTTTGCCTCGAAATTTCCAAAGCACTCTTAGTAGTGAATTTGCCCGTACTATTTTTAGTCCACCATAGCTTGTCCATTACATTCTCAAATTGACCAAATCTCATAGTATCTCGAACATGTTCAATGACATGTTCTGGGAATACATCTTGCATTGCACCATAATCCCAACCATCCTCTTTAATAAAATCACCAACATCATTTATAGGATGGCAATATTGTACCTCTATTGAATGAAGAAATATAGGACCAGAGTTGGTCTAGTTATGAAACCAAATTGTTGAGGTTCCACTTCTTGGTTCCCATCATAAAAAAGACTCAATCTTTTCCTTGTTCTCCATCATTGCTTTCCACACTTGAGATCCACCTCTTCATTGCACCAATGTAGGAATCTGTTTCTTGCAGTATTTATTCCATAAATAGTTAGACCACAAATTAGTTTGTGTCCCGAACCTCCACCACAAATTAGCATACATTGCTTGAGAAACTTCTTTTAAGGATCTGAACCCTAAATCCCGTTCATCCTTTGGCAAACAAACCTTATTCCATATAGATCAGTGTTTGCTCCTTCCTGTCTCTTTGGAATGCCAAAATAATTTTTGCAAAATTCTTTGTAATTCTTTAAAAACACTTTTAGGAGGAACAATAGCTGAAAGAAAATAAATTGGGATGCTTTGTAGAACATTTTTATAGTAAAACGTCCTTTCCTCCATATGATAGAAGCCTACCCTTCTATGCTTGGAGTTTACTCCTCACTCTGTCCAACAAATCATCATAGTGCTCCTTCTTTTTCTTTGAATGTGTAATGGGACATCCTAGGTACTTAAGAGGAAACGTTCCTTTGGTCATACCTGTATCCAATTCCATCTGCTGCACAACCTCCCTGGAAGAATTTTGATGCATATAGAAGAGACTCTTATCCTTATTCGCCTTTTGCCTTGATTCCTGCTCATACTACTACAAAATCATCATAATCTTTCCAATAGAGTGCTTATTAGATGAGGCTAAAATGATAGTGTCATCTGCATATGCTACGTGATTGAGGTTGGAGCTCCACTTAGGCATACCATAACCCACAAAGGCATTATCTTCACAAAGATGATTAAGAGCTCTAGTTAGAACTTCAACATATAAGATAAATAAAGTAGGGGAAAGCGGATCCCCTTGTTTGACCCCCTAGTAGAATGAAAAAATCAACAGATTGGCCATTTAACAGAATAAAGTAGTAATTATTAGATATTAATCTCCAAATCACATCTACAACCCCATTAGAGAATTCCATCTTTCTAAGAACCTTCATTAAAAAAACCAGGATACTCTGTCATAGGCCTTAGCCATATCCAGCTTCAAGATTACAATAGAAGGTTTTTCTCTTTTCCATATATCAACAACCAATTCCTGTGTTAAGAGCACATTCTCAATGATATTTCTCCCTTTGAAAAAACCAGTGGTTAGGAGAAATCAATTTGGGAAGAATATTCTCCAATATATCATGCACAATTCTTAATAAAATCTTATTAACAAAGTTACTTAAGCTAATAGGCCTCAGGTCTGAAAAAGACTGCACATTATCTTTTTTCGGGATGAGTACTAGATTAGTATGAGTAATAGACTTTGGGAGGGTGTTTCCTGTAAAGAACTCTGCCACCATTCTACCCACATCAACACCTACTATATCCCAGCAAGAGTGAAAAAACTTTTCTGATAAGACATCTGGCCCACAAGCACTGTCACCATTTAAGCTGAAGATTGTCTTCCTTATCTCTGATTCAACTAGTATTTCCCCTAAAACTACATTGTCCTCCTCTGTAACCAGTTCTGGAATGTGATGCAATAGTGAAAAATCATATGCATCCATCTCTTGAGTGAATTGTTTTTGATAATAGTCAATTGCTTCATTAACAATTTGGTCTTTTTCCTCTACCCAACAACCCGACTCATTAATAGATCTTGTCACCTTCAACCTGTTTCTTCTCCCTTTCACTATGATGTGGAAAAATTTAGTATTTCAATCTCCATTTTCAAACCAATCATATCCAGCTTTCTGTTGCCAGTAGCTTTCCTCCAAATGTAGATATCTGGTGTACTCAGCTTTAGCTCTTTGCATGACTTCTCTATTCTCTTAAGAGGGGAACTCTTCAAATAGTTTCTCTTTCAGTTTGGCTATCTCTTCCCTGATGAGTAGTTGTTGAAAGATAGCCCCATATGCCTGTCTACTCCATATAGTGAGAGCTTTTCTCACCTGCTTGATCTTCCTTTTATAGTCAAGAAAGGGGTTATTCGTAAAGCTTGAATCCCAACCCCTCCGGACCACTTCTTTGAAATCTTCATGCTCTGTCCAAAACTTTAAGACCTTGAAAGGCCTTTAGAGCCTGCTATTTCTGTTCTCACAGCTTATAGTAAGGGGGCATGATCTGAGCTATCTCTAGTCAGATGTTCCACTTCTACATGAGAATACAATCCCTGAAACTCAGATTCGAAAAAACTTTATCAAGCCTTTCGAAGATGCAATCATCACCTGCTCTACCATTCCACCAAGTAAATGGGCTACCCTTATATTGAATTTGCAAAACATCACAGGCTTCAACACAAATATTGAAATCTTCAACATCAGCAGCAACCACTGGGATCCTTCCTATCTTTTATGCACCATTCAAAACAGCATTGAAATCTTCTCCTAAGATCCAGGGCCTATTGAATCCATTGGATAAAGAAAGAATATTTTCCCATAGGTCCATCCTCAGATTTTTATCACACTTTCCATAAACAATAGTCACCAAGAAATAAATACCAAGTGTCTGGTTACACAAATTCAGGGATGACTACTGCTTAGTATCACTAATCAAAGTAGTTGTAAAACCATGGTTCACAAATAACCAAATTTTGCCATTACAGTCATGAAACATTAAAGGCATATGTAGTCTGCTTCTGTATCTGTTTATGTGCTTAGTGTGTTGAAAATGTTCAAGAAGTGCCATGAAAGAAAATTTATGGTATTTGTTCAACATCGGTACTCTCTGAAAAGCCTTTTGTGACTTAACAAATCTAATATTCCATATAAATGCTTTCCTCATTTCTTCATTGGTTGAGACCCTTCTCCTCTCTTGGGTTGCAATCTAATAGGTTGAGGAACCTCTCCATTTCCTTGCTTTCCCCCCTTCCTTGCATATTTAAGGCTTTTAATAACTCTTGGGGACAAATAAGCATCTCTATGTATTTGTTCTTTATGTTGGTCAGTGATGTTGTCTTCTTCTGTTGCTTCCACCTAACCACAAACCTCCACATCCTGTTGAACATTATGGGTTAGGATATTATCTAGCACTTCATTAGGAGATTCACTCCAAGGAAGTGCTTCTTCAACAACTAAAGGGATATCTACTATTGTTAGTGCACTATCCCTATATCATTGTTATTGTCTTATGTCCTCCATTACTTCATCTCCCCAACTTGTGCATTAGTAGTTATAATTTATGTTGCATGTATCTGATGGAAATGCTCACCACTTTGCTGATTATTTGCAAGGCTCTTTAGTTGATCACCACCCAAGTCGTATTCTTCTGTTGTTCGCTGTTTTCCTCCTGTGTATTCCACCAACTTCATTTGTTGTTGATCTGCAGGATCGCATGTACTTCTTGTTTATTTCTGATGGGTTTGCTGACCACTTTGCTGATTGTTTGCAGGACTTTGTTCACCCCCTGAGTTGGCAGGAGATGTAAGGATGCAATCATTACTATGTTCTTTTGCTATTTGTATTTTTCTCCATTGTTTACCGCCGATTTCCTTTGATTTTCATCTACAGTATTGCTTGTGATGCTTGCTGGTAGTGTTGCTTGCTTCTCCTTTCCATGACTATGGAATGAACTGGATATCCATTCCTTGGTGGACATTTGATTCTCAAATATTTCCCCTTGCTTATTAATTCCTTGAGCTTTAGATATTGAAGTAATATTTGTATTATTAACAGGAATGTGATCATCCCCTTCTTCTGTAAGTGCTTCAAAGGGGTTATCATTGGTAATCACTTTATCTGGTAATATAACTTTCTCACTAAGATAACCCTTGTTAATGAACCTTCTGTTGGTTGGGTTCCATTGATGCCTTTGGTAAGTGTTTCTCCCTGCTTGTTTCCTTGATGTGGTGGTCTCCACTTTTTCGTTATGATCATTAACGTCTTTTTCCTCATTTTCTAGTTGCACCTGTTTAAGTTCATGATGAAGTACCCTACATTCTTGCTCATTGTGACCTTGTAACATGCACTTCTTGCAATATTTAGGTAAAAAATCGTACTTAATTTTCACCTGTTCAACCCTTGATTCCTTTGTGGTGGATTTAACAATCTCCGTCTCCACACACTTAGGTAAATCAGCCAAAAGGTCCACTTGCACCTTGACCTTAGCACAATTAGGTCTTGTTTTATTTACCGTTGCCAAATCCAAATGAATCGGTTTCCCTACTGCAGATGCGAGTGGAAATAGTGACTCTTTCATAAAGAAAGTTGGCTTGAGGTCAGGGAAAGCGATCCATGCCATTGCTTGAGATGTTTCCTCTTCAATCTTGAATTTAGCATCATAGATTAGGGGTCTCATTTGATAGGAATAACCATCCTTATCATTGATATAGTAGATGTTCTTGGACATACCATTAACGAAATCCTTAATCAAGTTGAATCTCATAAGAATGTGATGATTTCTCAAGAAACCAATCCTGCAATCTCCTTTCACTTTGAGTTATATAGGGATTTAGATGCGAAGATCCTCTAATTTAGGCCATCCATAGGAAATTTTCCCTATTGTTGCATATTGTAACTCTTTAATTACAATCATTCGATCCACTTCTTCCTCATTCCACATAACTCGAGGAATACCATTGATGTAGTTCAACTTTTTAATAGGAATAGGTTCAATTGATTGCTTACTCTGTGTCTTTGGAGCATTAATCGTTAAAGGTTTCAGAAGTTTGACATAAGGTTCCAAAGGTGATGGGGTTTCTTTGGCAGGCGAAGAAACTCTAGGCAAAATAGGCTCGATAGGGGTTGTGGTAATGAAGGAAAATTGTTGTCGGTAGTAGTGAAGGGTGACTGGTCAGCCATAAGAACAGGCTGACCAGTGGCCTGATTGACCATTTTCGGCAAATATTAGGGTTCAATTGAAGTTGACGGCATAAGTCGCTTTTGCTTCAGTTTCAACAAAAAAATTTAATCGTAAGTGAATATTCATTTGGTTCTCATATAATATGGATTTTGTAGCTTATGTTTGTTTGTATTTTTTTTAGGCAGAAACATATTTTAATAAAAGATGGTTGTTATTTTATTTATTTTAAAATATTGTGTTGATCATGCTTATACAAACCCATTTGCAGTTCTACTTCATGTTCTTGCACACATATTTTTAGTCTTTTTAGTCACTATTATCTCAATTCTCAAGTATAAGGCAGCTCTGTCATTTTTCATTATTCATGCTTCATAGAAATAATATTTCACTTCTAGTTTAAATTTGATGGGTTTGAGATTTAGCTTATACTCAAAATATATTTGTTATTGGTTTTAAAAGTCTTCAATAGATAAATGTGTATATTATTTGGCGCTTGCATATCTTGTGTGAGGGATAATATATATATTTGATTTATTCACTATCAATTAAAGTTGAATCGTCTTACTAATCCCTTTACCCTCTTTTTACTTGCATGAACTTGGGGACCAAAAATGGAGTCTTGATTCAAGACTCCAGCAAATTTTGAGTCTCCTAGACTTGACGTTACCATCATATCCGCATATGAAGTCGACATCTTAGACTACCTGAATAGCAAGCAAAACAAGCGAGCCTCGCTTGGAGCCACTCATGGCTACTTATATTTTAACATTAATTAGTTTATTTATTTTTTCTTTATATATATGTTAAACTTGCTTATGTGACTTGAATTCACAAATAGCTAACTTAATATAGATGTTTGAGATATGGTACCTCCAGTTAGAAACAAATCATTATAGTTACGGTAGCTCTTTTTTGGGTAAATCACATAAATATGCAATATTAAAAAAATAATTACCATCTATGGCAATATAATTTTTCTAACTAAATATAACATTTTTTTAGAATTAAAAAAATGTACTATTTATCTTCCTTTGCCTCTTTATCTGCCCTTTTTCTCTTCCTCTTCTTTTTTTATTCTTCTTCGGCGTCTCTTTCTGTGTCATTCTTTCTCTTCCTCCTCTTTTTTTTTTATTCTTCTTTTTTTTTTGAAATTTTCATTTAAATAATCATTTATAGATCAGTTTTTGCCCATATTTCACTATTTTTACCCAAAAACACGACAAGAAGAGGAATAGAAAAATCAAAAAAATTGTACAATATCATGTTCTCAAATAGAAATTTCAAATCTTTAAAATTATAGCAACAAGAGTTCACCATTGATGGTCATTATAAAGCTTCAAATTTTGAATTAATTATTTGAATTTTTACGAATTTTGTGATTAGTTTGGATAGGTTATTCCTACAAATAATTGAAAATGTCTTTTGGAGTTTATATCTCAATTTTTAGAGGGTTTGGTTAAGTTTATAATTTATTTTAGGAGAAATATTAGATTGAAACTTGAAAAAGGTGAAGTTTATGGAACGGTATCGCGATTGTATTAGATATGTTTCATAACTGTATTAAAATTATATTAACATCACGAACAATACATTTATAATACATATTACAAACTTCACTCCTTTTTTAGTGATATCAATCAAAATAATTTAAGTAACACACTTGTAATACATTTATAACATATGCACAATACATATTGCAAACATCACTCATGTTCTTAGTGATACAAACTAAAATAATTTATAAGACACATATAATACATGTTTTATTCATGAATAATACAAGTTTAATTCAGTCTATAGATTATTGTCTTGTCTTTCGTTAGTTACGTTTTTCATTTATTGTTTGTTTTTCTTCTAATTCAACTTTAATATTGTGTAATACACTTTTAATGCAAATTTAATTCATTTTGTAGTTTATTATTTGTTACTATTAGATTTCTTATTTAATTCATTATTGATATAAGTTTAATTCACTCTATTGATCATTGTTTGGTGTTTCATTAGTTACATTGTTTATCCATGCTTAATTCAACTTTAATATTTGTGTAATGCACTTTTAATACAAGTTAATTCATTTTGCAGTTTATTGGTTGATTTGTTATGATTGAATTACTTGTTTAATTCGTAATTGATACAAGTTTTATTCAGTTTACAAATCACATAATGCTCTTTCATTTGCTACATTTTGCATTCATGTTTAATTTTCTTCTAATTCAACTTTAATATGTGTGTAATACATATTTTATTCAAGTTTAATTCATTTGGCAGTTTATTATGTTTCTTCATTTGTTACAATTAGACTACTTGTCTAATTAATTATTGATACAGATTTTATTCAGTCTACAAATCACTGACTGCTCTTTCGTTTGCGATTAGTTTGGATAGGTTGTTCCTACAAATAGTTAAAATATCGTTTGGAGTTTATATCTCAATTTTAAGAGGGTTTGGTTAAGTTTAGAATTGATTTTAGGAAAAATATTGGATTGAAGCTCGAAAAGGATGAAGTTTACGAAACTATATCGCGTTTGTATTAAAGTTGTATTAGATATGTTTCATAATTGTATTACAATTGTAACATCCCAGAAAAATTTTGCGCTAAGACTTGAACCATCCTTCGTTGTGAGTAGGATTTTATCGAGGAATTAAAATTTCTTAAGTGTTAAGTTCACTAGATGTAGCACCTTGAGTTCGAAAATTGATTAAATTGGAAATAGCAAAAATCTGAAATTTTGCAAGCTAAGTATGAGTTTTGGGTTGACTTCAAACGATCAGAACTCCTAGCTCAGGATGAGTTAGGTGTGCTACCAGATGCCGTAGGAAAGATCTTTGAATTATCTTTCCAACGCCACCGAGTTTGCTAAGTTTTGAGGTCGGATGAGTGAGATATGGCCCTTTGAAGTTAGGTTGTCCAGTTAATGAAAGTTAGCCGAAAATAGTAAGGGGTATTTTGGTCTTTTCCTTACCAAATCAGATTTAATTCATTTTTAGTAAGGTTTTAAGGGTCTAATCCTATTAGGTTCAGTTTTGTAATCCTAGAATACGCCTAGGGTTTTAGTTGAGAGTTCAAGAAGAGAAAAGAAGAGAGAAGAGGAGAAAAGAGAAAGGATCGAAGCGTTCGTCGAAATTCTTGAGAGTTGTTGCGAATTTTCGCCATGGGTTTGATCCCTAAGAGGTATGTGAGATCACATTAGCGTTGGGTTAGTTCACCCACGCGCCAATCATTGATTTAATTCAGCGAATTTAAGTCTTTGAAGGTTTAGAAATTGAGTTCTTGAGGAACATTGTTAAAGGTTTTCTTGAATTCTTGTGGGTTGCGTTGATTGAAGTTTCTTGTGATTTGATTCATGTTTCTGGGTGTAATTTCGGTTTGAATCTATCGTATATTGAGGGTATAAATGATACTAAGTGTTCGGGGAAGGAACCATGGAAGTTTAGACGGTTTAGAGATGAAAAACGGAGAAGAAAAGTCGTCAAACACCTGGGGATAGGGGTGGGGCATCGCGCCAGCCAGTGCGCCCCAAAAGTGTCTCTGAATCTTCACCCTTGGGGTGCCGCACCAGCCAGCGCGCCCCAGACCAGTCCCTGAATGTTGAGGGCTGGCGCCCCGCGCCTCTCAGAGCACCAGGGACGCCAGTTCTCACCATTTGTTCCCCACCTTTTTGTACTAGTTCCTTAGCAATGTACCAATATTTTCTAGTTGATT